TCTATTCCCTAGCCACCTCCATAAACATAGGATAAAAGATCCCGTAGAAGACTTGGGGGGACTGCAGACAGGCGGCTCTGGGCCGCCCCAGGAAGCAGCAGATCAGGGCCACAGCAACCCCATGCTGTGGTCCCGATCCTCCCTTTTGCCACCCCGAAAAGAATGGCAAAAGGCCACCCTAAGAGCCGGCATGAGGCTTTTCACTGCCCTTTTCAGAGTAGTGTGTTTGAACGCTGCGCCGGAAAGGTGTAGTGATGCCACGCGCCATGCGTAATGGCACGTAGTGTCAGGACAGCGTTGGCGTGGGGTTGGGGTGGCCCAGAGTGTGGCTGCCCTCCCCCAACTCTGCTTCCAGGCCAGCCTTTTGGGCCAGTCTGCAGAGGCCCTTGGACTTTAGTAATTCCCCAGGTTCAAGGTCTTCATTACATAGTTTTTTTAAAAATGGATGTTTCATAAAGATCAGACAGGTTGCTCCTAATACAAATATCAGTTGTACATGCACATGGAAGAGTATTACATATGACTACTTTTTTTGTGTGTGAAGACTAATTGAAATTCAAATTAATGCTTCTAAGATTGCACTAGAGCCAGTGTGGTGAAGTGGTTTGATTTTGGGCAATAACCCTGGAGACCAGGGTTCGAATCCATGTTCAAACAGGGAAACTCACTGGGTGATCTTGGGCAAGTAACACTGTCTCAGCCTCAAAGAAAGGCAAAAGCAATCCCCTCTGAACAAATCTTGTCAAGAAAATTCTGTAATAGGTTTGCCTTAGGCTTGCCATAAGGTAGAAATGACTTGAAGGCACACCACCACTACCACCACCAGATGCACTCCTATGTGTACTTTCATGGGAGTAAACACCTCTGAATAAATTGGTCCCTATGTCTGAGTAACTATATGTAAGATTGCAATGTACTACCTATGCACTTTCAGTTTCTAAAGGTCCTATCTATCTATCTATCTACCTTCACCTATCTATCATCTCTCTCCCTCCCCCCCACTTCCTGTTGATTGAGAAAGATGGTATTGGATGGAAAACATTTATTGTGTGCCTTCAAGTCATAATCAGAGTGCCCTGTTTAATTTGTATTGCATTTGTAATTTTGTTTTAGGTTAAATTTTAATGTTGTTATGAATTTAATATATTTTTAGGGTGTGTGTGAATGTTTTTGTATTATATGGGATTGTGCTTTTAGATTGTAAGCCACCTTGATAGCCTCGGCTAAAGGCGGGATATAAATAAAATTTATTATTATTTATTATTTATTAATTATAACTCCAACTTATGGAAAACCTAACCTAGGATTTGCTTGGGAAGATGTATTCAGAAGACGTTTGCCATAGCCTTCTTCTAAGGTTGAGAGAGTGATTTGTTGAAGGACACCCAGGAGGTTTCCATGGCTGAGCAGGGATTCAAACCCTGGTCTCTAAGATTTTTAGTCCAATGCCCAAACGACTATACTACACTGGCTGAACATCTAAAGGTAAAGGTATTCCCCATTGGATGTTATCAC